CCAATTAAATTTTGCTTGATATTGCAGACAAGGACTTCAGACGAAGATGAGTAAGCCGGTTGCGTGTGTGAAATCAGATTTGTCACAGAAACTGTATTACATGTGCTGCAAGGTGAAGAAGATCGACACGTTCGTGGAGGAACATAAATAGAATCCTCCTCGATAACGAGGGGGTGAACTCTAATATCAGAAGTAGCCCAATCGCTGGACCCTTCTGCATTTATCAGCCTACCAACAGGATCTTTATTGGCATCAAAGGGAACGCAGGACGATGGTAATGGCTGTGAAGGCGGCTTCCGGGAGCCTTCAGGAAAATAGTGGCTGTTCTGTATGGCATGGTTGAGGATGCTAACAGTGGATGAGCTAGAAGTGGATATAGAGGACAGTGGACATTTAGTTAAATTAGTAGGAGCATTGAGTATACTGGTCGCCGAAATAGGGCTAATGCTGCTTGAAGGCTGCAAGACATTTTGCTGATGCTTCTCATAATTAATTTCTTTTGAAATGAGGTTTCCGCCACAGGTATGCACTTGTCTTTCATCGCAGCTTTTGTGCAGCAAAAGAGAAGAAAAGTTAGCATCTGTGGATGTAGCGACGGGTGAGGATATTTTTGGTGTCACAGTGGTGCTGGGAGAGATAAGAGAACCATAAAAGGCAGCAGGCATGGTCCCGAAATTTGAAGGCTGTTGGCTTTTATCACAAACTGCTAAAAAATCCGGAAACATTACAGTAAAAGAGTCTGCAGAGTTAGAAGGATAGATGGATGAATCTTTGCCATGAAAGCAAGGACCCTCCAGATCTAATGAGCCTTTTCCCATAATTGCCTGACACTTGTTTGATTTATCCATTGCTGAAGACAGAGGTAATTGGAGCTGAAGAAGAGACGATTCATGCTGAGCCAAGGATTCCAGCTGGCCCGATATTCTGTTATTTGTTACAAATTGGTGACCAACTTTAGTTGTCAATACATTTGCATGATCATGATCCCGATCAGATTTATGACCGACTCTACGAGGTCCCATCGGACTAGGCTCCCACTCAAAACCAACGATCTCCTCCGCAATTGCTAGAGTAGCTTGTTTATGAATCAGGGATGTTTTAGCTTGTAGTTTGTGAATCTGTGAGCTTCATATATTAAAAGCAAATACTTCAGTTTATGTTATTTAGATTGAAGAAATTAAGGGATCATTGGGTAAAGTGAAATAGCTCAAACACTAAAAATAGCCAGCATCATAAATTAGAAATTGCAAAAAGAATTGTCACTTAGTAGCCTAAAACATTTATCTCCAATTAAAAAGCTTATTAAACTGGAAATAGATTAACCTTGTTTTCGCAACTTGGTCATATTGGCAGGAAGACCTAGATGAACGCATCTAGTCCGGACTCCATAGTATGCGTGATAATTTCCAGATTTGGACCGTGGACTTGGTACATTACTATACGTTTCACCGGCATCGTCAGTGAGTCTTCCAGTCGTAGCGCCACATTACAACTTGTCAAAGACACCAGCGAAGCCCATACTTTGACCAATTGCCTGCTAAACAGTTGTTGTATCTTTCCTGCCCAGGGCTATTCTCCTATCCTAAATCCTCGTACCACCCCTTCACTATCACAATTTCTGAATTCCTTATTTAAATGCCGTATGGTGTGCCCTTTTGAGCGGATTTCATGAGACCTCTTCGCACAACACACTGGCTTTCTCACCCCACCCTCCTACCATTGTGCTGGAAACGTTGTTCTGAGTTTTTCATATTAATCCACAATCCTCTTTCCATAAGTAATAAACTTGGCATCATGAAAAGAAGTGTGATAGATGCGGCGGAGACTAAAACTAGTTGGCTAACAGTAGACTTCTTTGATCGAAGATATGAAGACCAAGATGGTGTGGCCTTTTGTGTGGTCGCAGTCTCCTTTCGTTGTATAGAAGTTGTCTGACCTTGTTTTCGCAACTTGGTCATAATGAAGACCAAGATGGTGTGGCCTTTTGTGTGGTCGCAGTCTCCTTTCGTTGTATAGAAGTTGTTTGACCTTCTTTTCGCAACTTGGTCATAATGGTAGGAAGACTTATAGAAACGCACCTTGTCCTGAGTCGATTGTTGTAGACTTGTTTGTTCACAGACGTGGTCCCTAAGGCAAAGGCTTGACGATAAAAATTAATCGGGATCTATGGCCTTAAGTTAGTCTTCCATCCAGCTTGAGTATCCAGCCTGCTTAGTGAAGCAGGAGTATATGTGCCATCAAAGGCTTGAGGCAGAGTGTGAGAACTAACTCCTCGAGTAGCACAGCTAGGGTTTCAGTGGTCAAGTGGAATACCTGAACGAGGGAGATAGGAGACGGATCCTTCGGGAAAAGAGGGAGACTCTGATGGGACTTATGGGAAGAGGATTGCGGATTAATATGACAGGCTCAGAACAGCGTTCCCAGCACAATGGTAGGAGGGTGGGGTGAGAAAGCCAGTGTGTTTTGCGAAGAGGTCTCATGAAATCCGCTCAAAAGGGCACACCATACGGAATTTGAATAAGGAATTAAGAAATTGCGATAGTTAAGGGGTGGTACGAGGATTTACGATAGGAGAATAGCCCTGGGCAGGAAAGATACCACAACTGTTTAGCAGGCAATTGGTCAAAGGATCGGCTTCACCGGTGTGTTTGACAAGTTGTAGTGTGGCGCTACGACTGGAAGACTCACTGATGATGCCGGTGAAACGTCTAGTAATGTACCAAGACCATGGTCCGACTCTGGAAATTATTACGCATACTATGATGTCCGGACTAGGTGCGTTCAACTAGGTCTTCCTGCCAATATGATCAAATTGTGAAAAAAGGTCGTACAGCTAGTATACAATAAAAGGAGTCCGCGACCATGCAAATGCCTCCATAATCTTAGTCTTCATACCTTATTCAAATAGTTTACAAGCAGAAAAATCCTTAGTGAACTCATAATAATTAGAGTTTAGTTAATATTAATATCACTAGTAAATTCTTTTTTACAAAAAGGAAATAAATGTGTGAGAAGTTCATAAGCTTAATTCAGAAAATATGAAGACCAAGATGTTGTGGCCTCTGGTATGGTCGCAGTCTCCTTTCGATTAATAGAAGTGGGTTGACCTCGTTGTCGCAACTTGGTCTTGTTGTCAGGGCGACTTAGTAGAATTCCCCTAGTCCGAAGTCGTCTGCCATAATAGGTGTCATGATTCCCAGCATCAAACAGTGCACTTGATACATTCTCAAAAGTTTCTGGGCATCGTAGTCGGTGAGTGCTGCCATTCTCCGCACCAAGCTACGAACTCGTCAAAGAGACAAGTGATGAAAATCCCTCGACAAACGTTTTGGTTACACTATCACTCCTTTTTCTGTCCTTGCCTATCTATTTACTCTTTACCTTCTTATTCCACTGCCACTTTATCACACAAGGAAGCGGAAGATAAGGGGGCCATTGATATCCTTGTGGAGAAAATTCTAATGAACATGAGATTTGAGGAAGGTAGAGTTAGCGATAACTTTGCCTACTGCCTAAGCAAACTCGAGGAAAACAAGAATAGAGCAAGTCCAGGAAAAAGAAGACGCTTGGATCAAGGAACTACTGCTAACAGGAGGAGTAGCGAAGTAATACAAAGAAACATACGGGCCGTGAAAAGCCGATGGCGGAACGGGGAATATAAAAGAACAGAAAGGCCGATGATGGATTCACAAAAGTGAATATGCCTACTTTCCTGCGAACTAACTCAGAAACTATGGCCAATATTGAGCAAATGGAATATTTAAGTGGTCATGA